GGCTCTTATAAAAAGATTACAGCCATTGAAAACCTACTCTGAAACACATGGCGTTTCCATGAGTTGGAATCTACTCACTGGCAATATCAACAATGAAAAAAAAGCTTCCCCAACGGGAAAAATCAAGAAACTGTATCCTAGAATTGTACACACAAAAGAATGAAACAAAGAAGCAAAGAAATTATAATACATCTTTAGATGCCCTTTTCAATTTAATAATGTTTTCAAAATGATCAAATCAAGCCATAAGACAAGAAAAAGGTGACAAGCATTACCCTGGTCACTGGTTTCCTATTATTTAAAGGTGGCACATCACTTTTGCTGGTGTGAAAAACCACCCAACCCAGTTCTAGTCAAGTTGATTTCAGTAAGTACATTTCAAAATTGTTTTCTTTTAAAAGTTGAGTTCCTCGGCTTCTCTAGCTATATGTGGCCCATTGCTTACTGGCATTATACTTAAATATTTCACTTTTTATTGGCAATAAAAGAGCTGTAGGAAGAAGGTCCATTTTTCTGGCCTATTCATGGATTCATTAGCCTGAATAGTTAAGAAACAACTGTATCAAAACAAAAATTTATACTAGACAATACACAAAACAATTGGCAAAGTAGATCCATTTCTGTGATAGCATAAATTCTGATTAATACTCGTGTCATTAAAGCTGTATTCCTTACATAATGTTTATTCTGTATAAGATTTATCTATATACAATAATGTCAGCTTTAAACAATTTACTGTTATTTATATAATAAGCTCATCTTATAAAATAAAGTGATACACAAAACACCTTGGTGAATTTAGCAGCTATTCTAGGGTTCAGAAAATCTATTTTCTAGTTTTGCCATTGTTTCTGTGGGTTGTCTTAGGTAGGTTTCTTTACTTTTAGGTGCCTCCATGTCACATGGGATGATTATCTTATGTAAAGAACAACAAAAATTATTAAAAACTCTGCAGAGATAAAATGCTATGTACTAAAGTCTGTGAAGCCGGAACCTGGGAAAGGCAGAAACCTGTCAGAGAAGGAAAACTCAGTATTTTCCACTAAAAAAATGGCAGGACTATACTCTGTCTTAGGAGGAAAATTGTAAGACTTGGAAAAACGAGGTAGTCCAGCTGTGTTCTGGCTCTCATAGGTTTCACTGTGAATGATAAAAAGAAACAATGATCCATTCTAATCTAAAGTAACAGAACTTTCTGTTAGGTTCTCCTGTACCTGTTATTATCATCATTTCTAGTTACACATAATACTGTCTTTTGCTGTACTTTTAAAAGTAATTTTCCATTTTATATATATATACTTGGTGGAGTCTATTTGGACTCATAATGACCCTGTATAGTGTTTCCAAGGCTGTAAAGCTATATGGGAGCAGAAAGCCTTTTCTTTTTCCCACAGAGTGTCTGGTAGATTTGAAATGCTGACCTTGTGGTTAGCAGTCCAAGTTGTAACTCAATACCCTACCAGGGCTCCTTACTATTAATTTTAAGGCTAAAGAAAAAAATCCAAAAAATAGTAGGAGTGAAAATTTCAATATATTATACCATAACTTAGCATAATGATTGTAATTAATTGAGTCATAAACTCATAAATAAATAGATATCAACTTTTTTTTTTTAATCTATTAAGTAGCTGATTTGGTCACATGAAAGCTGTGTTCATGTTTGTCTTGATTCCATTACTTAAAAATATAATATTGAAAATTTTGTTCTTAAATAGTCTTAAGATCTGACAACTATATTTAGAAGGAACAGTGTGTGGTAGGGATGCAATTTGCTAGTCTAAAAGAGATCCTGTGGTTACCTGCTTGCCAGAATAGTGGGTGAGACTGTAATGCTCCAAGGGACCTGAAGACATTTCTAGTTCAGTGGTTTTCAGTGCTGTATTCCTGAGCCTTTGTATATGTGTTTGGGGGAGAGGTTCACTGGATAGGAATTAAGGAGAGAACTTTTAACCAAAGCAGGTTGAATCTATTGTGTTTATCCCTTAAATATTGAGCTTCTCTGTGAAACAATTCATTTGAAGGAAAGGCTTCTTGGGTAAAAAAAAATTATTTTAAATTATTTTGCTTCCTCTAGATAACCGACATGGGTGCATTTCACTTTTGCAAAACTTCTAGTTCATCAACCAGGCACACCTGAGGACAACAGAATTGGCTTGGCATTCCTGGAAGGGCAAACTTTGGTCTAACCAATTCCTATCATTTTTCTGATTTATAAAACAAAAATATCAGGTATAAATAAAGCTTACTTAAACAGGTTACACGCCTATGTACTATTTTCATGCATTTAGAAGCCAAGCAATTCCATTTTCTCAGAAACCATTAACAGACCGGTTTCACTATAGAAAAGAATTAGTCTCTCAAAGTCTTACATCTCACACATGATATAATGACTGGAGTTATTATTAACAACTTACGAACAGGTCATAAATGTTTTCCTTTTATGACATTAAGATGAGAGAACAAATGTGCTGACTAGTTTGGCAAACTTTATAGTTCTTTTGTGGTGATTGCTCGGTGCTTGTTATAAGCAATTATGGGCGACCATTATTTCTGAAAAGGCAAATACTCTACAAATGCTGATGGCAATTTGGTGGTCAGTGGGTTTAGCTAACATTCATGCTGATGTTTGTAAAGTTTGCATGCAGAATAGCATAAAAGAACATTTAGATCATCGACTACAGTATGTTAGGATATACACATGCAAGTACTACTTTATTTCTATGAATAAAGCGCAGATCAGACATTTTTCCTATTGGCCCCATCACTAAAAATCAGGTTACAATTTTGAAAGGTGGTCTGGCTCCTTGTGTCATTTGGAAACAGCTTTAATGGTAATAATCCTGATTCAGGAATGGTCACATTGGGAGAAAATGAACTCAAGACACAATCAGGTCTAGAAACAATGGACAATTTGTCTTCAGGGAATCTTGAAATTGTGTTAGCATTAAGTACCATAAAACAAACAGGCCATTCATCGATTTATACAATTTTTTTAAACTAATCATTTTAGCCCATAAGTTGGTATCAAGGACAATTATAAGTTAAAGAATAAGAGAAAATAACATTAAAAAGTACCATCTTGAGGTATATCATGGCATTTAAAAGTACAGTATAATATGTGCAGTCTCTATCAAAATTCAGTTATATAAAACTTAATTGTGATAACCTGCTGTGACCTTTATGAAGTTCAATCCTTTAGTTCAGGTACATTAGGCCTTACCTTTAAAGCGACAATAATGTTTCTGCAATTTAGTTGTAACTTTGGAATGTTTGATCATTTACACAGGGGAGGGTTTTAAACTTAACTTTGTATCCTAGGAGGAAAAGTTTGCTTTGAATTATTATATAAACAACATAAAACAAAAATGCTTAAAGTATTTAAGAGAGTAACTTGTTCAAGCAGTTTTATAGTATTTAACATTTATATATAAATAACAACATAAACACATGTCAATAGGAGCTAAAAGAACATCACTTAGCACTATTTGAATGACTCTAATACAACATATATTCTTTTGAAGATGATTAAATTCCTCTTCTTTCATACTGCCTAACTCTGATTAGCGTATTTCATAGTAATTTTTATAATTACTATAGATTGGTGAGCCTTGACTTAGCTCTTAGCCATTTCAGGAGACATATGAGACAGGGAGAGTTGAAAGAGGCCTGTGTTTAAAATCATAACCTGTATAATCACCATCCCATCAATTAAACTTTCTGACCTTAATTTCCTCATTTGCAAATCAGAAATACCACCTAGCTCACCAACTCAGTAAGAAAATGTGAGAGCACTTTATAAACGATATGAAAAATCCATTGTCATTTAGTCAATTCCAATTCACAATGACCCAACCAGACAGAGTAAACTGCTTCATAGAGTTTCCAAGGCTCTAAATCTTTACAGAAACAGACTACCACGTCTTTCTCTCATAGAAGGGCTGGTGGGTTTCAACTGCTGAATTTTTGGTTAGCAGCTGAGTATGTAACCATTGCATCACCAGGGCTGCTTATACATAATATGTTGATATTGTTTATACACCATCAAATCAGTTCTGACTCGGTGGCTTCCCAAGGAGCAACTGGTAAATTTGAGTCACCAACCTGTGGCTCAAACAAACCTTGGGTCCAGTGCTTATCCTACAGTGCCACGCCAGGACTCTCTATTATAAATAATATTTGCTGTTGTTTTATGTCATGGAGTCAGTTTGATTCATAGCAACCCTGTATAGGGTTTCCAAGGCTGGAAATTATGGGAGCAGAAAGCCTCATCTTTCTCCCGCAGAGTGGCTGATAGATTTGAACTGCTGACCTTGTGGTTAACAGCTCAGCTTATAATCCACTGTACTACCAAAGCCCCTTCTATATAAGTATAAATAATATAGTGCTATATAAATGTAGGACTTCTGGTGTGGCACTATAGATAAGCAGTGGACTGCGAACCACAAGGTCGGTAGTTCAAACCCACCAACTGTTCTTCAGAAAACCTGTACAGGGTCACTGTGAGTCAGAATTGACTCGATGGCACTTAACAATTAACAATATAAATGTAAGAGATTGCTCTTGAGAACACTCTGTTTTATTTCTTTCTTTTGAATAAGAACAGAACTATATTAGTAGATTTTTACTTTTTACCAAATCTTTATGCAGTCTTACTTTTTTTCCTTTAAGAAAGTGATGTCCGTACATAATCTTTGGTTAGTCCCATTTCATATGTTTTGTTATAAAAGTACTGAGTCAATCAGAGTAATTTCAAGGTTAATTTTAAAAAATTCAAATATGAATAATTTCAAATATTTTTGATTAGTTTTCAGTCATACTTCTAAAACACTTATGGTCCTGGAATAATGGTAGGTTGTTTGAGATCCAAAATTAGCATAAAGATTTATACATCGTTCAGTCAGGTGGGGTGCCAGATCTGTAGTGTGCTCTTAGCTGGTTCCCTGTAAAAATTCATAACTGGTAGTGAATGTAGTTTTGAAACATCTTACACTTGTCTCACATAAAGTTTGGCTGTGGTAAATTTATTTAAAATATTTGCTTTGGAAAAAAATTGATAAATAGATCTTCTATCATTATGAGAAAAAAAAGTATCTCTGTAATAAAAGTTATAGGATGAATTGTTCATCCATCATGCCAACTCAAGCTAGGTCTTTCTTTCCAGTGCAGCAACATATTTTAGGGCAACAAAGTTCAGAATGGACCCAATATCCTGTTCAGAAAAGCATGCAAGTTATGTTAGGTCTTTTCTTTTAAGTCAATATCATAAATTCCTTAACCAGAATCTGACCATGTTAAGAGAGAGAGACAGGAAGTCAACATAAACCGAAGACATGCCAGCTTTGTCAGTTCACTTTACAGCTACCTAATGTTGGGCTTGACTTCTTTCTCTTCTTCTTCGTCACTGTCATCAACCTGCTGTATGACCAGATCAGCAGATCCATCCTCTACAATCTCCACATAGGATCTATTCTCTTCTTCACTCAAGTGCCATCTGGAATCCTTACTTTCTTCTGATGGGGACATCAGATGTTGTTCTTCCAAATCCATGGGGAGGCTATCTATGCCAACCTCAGCAAGGCACTCATTACAGAGTCTGTAACGCCTGGTTCCTTCCTGTACCACTTGTCCTGTCACGTCAGTCACGTGGCGTTTGCATTTTCTGCAGATTAGTTTGCATGCCTGGTGAATCTGTAGAGATTTAAATTGGGATAAAAAACAATTTTTCAACAGCAGGACAGTATGACCTCTATTCAAGTCACAATAAAAAGTTAAAAAAATAAAAAGACAAGACAGTTTGCTATTTTAGGGACTAGTTCAGAAACTTAAAATGTTCATGTCTTGTTGTTATTAAGTGCCATCAAGTTGGTTCCAACTCATAGCGACTCTGCATAGGGTTTCTGAGGACCGGCTGGTAGGTTTGAACTGCTGACCTTGTGGTCTGCAATCCAGTGATGATCCTACAGTGCCACATCGGGAATCCAAGGTATTAAATATAAATTAAAATCTAGTTATTAGAAAAAGAGCAGAGGTTTTTAGTGATGAGTTGATAACACAAAAATATTAAACATAAGCTTTCTCTAAATAGTTTTTATAGTGAATATTATCTATTTAATAATTTCACATATAACTTAATCCTTTTATATTTGAGGTAACAAAGGGATACTTTCCCATAATAATAATAATCTCAAATTCTTACTATGTGCCACATATGAAGGGGCTTCAAAAAGTTTGTGGGAAAGTGCCAGTATCCTTTCATTCCATTATTCCATGGACTTTCTGAAGCCCCCTAGTACTATTATAAGGACTTTCCATATATTATCTCAAAAATTAAAACTACTCTTGTTTCACCTGCATATTAACTTTTTGTGATTTTACCAGAAAAGACAAACTACTTTCCCAAATTTAAATTTGTCAGTAATTTTGCATAGAAAATTTATTTGGAAATTTTGTTAAAGTAACTGATCTGATAGAAAGAGAACTGGACTAGAAATTGGAAGCTGTGAGGATTTAATTCTGGTTTTGCCATTTATTAACTATGTATCCTAGAACAAGTAATTTACAGGGTGATAATGAAAATATTTAACACCTGGTAAAGTATGAGCACCATGGAGACTGATTAGAAGCCTGGCTAATTAGAATGGACCCTGGTCAGAAACAACCACTATGATGAATGGCTCTGATACATATCAGTCTATTATTAGCCTATCTGCTTCCATATTGCAAATGGTGATAATACGCGCAGGATTGGCATTAGGACAAAATGGGTTTATCTCTATGAAATGCTTTGGAAAAACCTATAATTGAGTAATTATATACTATTAACTGTGGCACTTACAGGGTAATCACTGAACTGCTAAGTCCAAAGCTGAAGGTTCAAATCACCAACTGCTCCTTGGAAGCCCTATACAGGATTGCTATGGGTTTGAACTGACTCGAAAGCACTTACTAACAACACCAAGTATTTCTTAGTAATAAACAATCCTGTTCATTACAGTAGAAGGTCTAATATAAAAGTCATTACAATTAATTGTGCAATGTTGAATGAGTTGTGTTTGTGGCATATTTGTATAGATAAAGTCTGCACATTATGGAAGTAGATCATGCAGTACAAACAAACCAAACAGCAAGTTCGTATGATCTCATCTTGATTAAAAAAAAAAACAAAAAAAACCCCAACAACACATGCACACATACCCACAGATAAAGTTCTGGAAGAATATGTGATAAAGTGTTAAGAATGGTAATATCTGATTGGTAAAAACACGTTATTTTTATTTTCTTATTTTTACTTGGATCTGTTTTCTTACTTCTTGCCATGTACATATATGAAGGGGTTTCAAAAAGTTCATAGAAAAATGGACTTAAAAGATAATGAAATTTTCTCATGAACTTTTGAAGTCTTCTTGTATTGCTTGTGCAAATACAAACTATAAAAAATTGTTTTTAATGGAAAAAAAAAAATCTAGCTTCATGAAGGCAGACACTTTGTTTTGCTCATTGCTATATACCTAGCACTTAGAACCGGTGCTCACTACATATTGAGCACACAGTAGGTACTCAATACATATTTGTTGAATAAATAACAATAAAGCAATGCATGAAGAAATCACCTCAAGTGATCCTTTAGTTTCTCTCATTGTCCTTTAAAATGAAAAAGGAGCTCTTATAAATGGAATAGAAGTATCAGTTATAGAACACTGAGTTTAGAAAAAAAAAAAAAAAAAACTTGCTTATGATGGGTGGCAAAAGAATTCCACTGCCTCATTAAACCACCAGGATACTGAACAGCTTCTGCCTGTTGACACTCAAGTCCCAGACTGATAGAACCACTATTATCCACCTTATTCCCTTTCTTAATAGGACTAGATAGCAATTAGAGAGAGACTGGAAAGTGGAGGACACGGGAAGAGAAACTGGACAGCAGCAACTAGACTGAGATCCTCAGGCAGATATTCAAGAAACTGGTAGATGCTGGTGATGCTGACATAGACATTAAAACATTTATATAGGTTATATGCCTTTGCCTCTGCAAAGACCAGTATATTAAAAAAAGAACCACATACTGGATTTTAAGTGAAGGTGTCAAAGGGGAATAATTTGTTACACATACATGCATACACATGAGGAAGCTTCAAAAATTTTGTGGAAACATTCCATTACTTTTTAATTCTATTTTTCTACAGACTTTTTAAAGCCCCCTCACATGTGTGTATATATTTAGACTAGGAAGTGTTTTATTTTGTTGTACATACAGTTATTATGAGTTAGAACTGGCTTTATGGCATCTAACAACTACAATGACATATGATACTTAAACATATATGTACACACATACCCATATAATTATGTGTAATGTACAAAGTAAAAACATTAAGTTGGAACAAAATTTAATATAGTAGAGTTGTGTAAAAAAAATGTCTCTTGCAAATTAGATTTTCCTAAAGCAGGTATGAGGCTTTCTACTCCCGTAAAGATTTACACCCTCGGAAACCCTGTACAGGGTCGCTATGGGTCGGACCCGACTCGATGGCACTTAACAACAACAACAACAAAGCAGGTAAGTGCACACGGCTTTTAAGAAGTAAAATGATGAAAAATCATATACATACTGTTCGAAAATGGCTGCTTAGATGGTCTAGCCTGCTGAATCTTTTCCCACAAGCTTGGCATGGATAAGGCCTTTCTCCTGTGTGACAACGAAGGTGGCGCTTTAGGTCGGCTTTCCGCTTTACCACATGGGTGCAGTATGGGCACTTGAATCGCATCCTGGGCAGATCATCTGTCAAGAGAGTTTCATTAAGTCACTGGAAAGTTCATGGCAACAATTCTAATAATATAAAGAAGTCCAAAAGTTGGTGAGTCCAGTCTCATCAAGGGTGGGAGAAAAGGAGAAGAAAGACATTGTATTAAGACTAGATGATCAATAAAATCCTAAATGTAGATGTTAAAGCTTCAGCAGCTTGCAGATTTTCAAAGTTTCGATTTAATTATTAAACTGCCACACTTATTTTATTTAATGTTGTAGATTCACTAGATTTTAAAATGTAACAGGGTAAAACTGGATTTTTAAATTATGGATGCAATCCAAAAGAAGTAATTCATTTAATTATTTAATATTTAAGCTTTACCCAAAGCTTTTAAGTAACTTGTTTTATTTACATGTTTTTATCCCTTTGCCTTTAGTCTAAATACACTTAAAACTTTTTTTTTTCATTCCATTTATTTTTTAATTAAAAATTTTTTATTGTGCTTTCTGTGAAAGTTAACACAGCAAATTAGGTTCCCATTGAACAATTCCTACATAACTTGTTCAGAGACTTTGGTTGTATTTTTCACAGTATGTCAATTCTCTCGTGACTTCCATTTCCAGTAGTTTAGTTTTCTCATCTTTGCTTTTGAGTAAATGTTGAACTTTGGTCTCATACTGATTTTTTTTTAAAGCTTTTATTGTGAACTGAATGACAGTTTCTGTTTCATTGCAGTGATTACAATTTTTTCTATACACCATCGGTTAATAATATTTGCCTCTATTCCCTCTTTTTTTCATGTACAAAAAAACACACAGGAATATATAATCGCTTAAACAACCAAAGGGCACATTTTGCAAGCAGCCTCCTGCCCTTCTCTTTTCATAGTCTAGAGTCCTCAGATGCTCTACCTCCCCAAACAATGATCTCTGCATGTATCTCTGGTGTCCCTGCTTGTCTGGTTAGGATTCCATGTTCCGCTCATGCTCCTCTTTCTTGATGGTCCTAGGTCCTCTATTTCTGGAATGTAAGACTAATTACCACCACCACCTATTTTTTAAAGTTTTTATTGTGAATTTAGTGATAGCTTACATGGGAGATCATGAGCTTTATATTCATCCTATCGTATTTTGTTTCATTGCAATGACTGCAATCCCCTCCATACATCATCATTCAACAGCATTTGCTTCCATTCCCTCTGTTTTTTGTTTTGGGATGTACACCAAAGCACTCAGGAATATATAACCATTCAAACAACCAAAGAGTATACCCCTCAAACCTGTTCCCCCCACCACTGTCAGCACACAGCCCCTCCCCCTCCCTGAGTCCAGAGTCCTCAGCTGCTCCATCTCTCTGCCTCTATTTCTGACTTCACTGCTTCTCTGGATAGGGTCCCACACTCCACTCCTCCCCTGATGGTCCCAGGGTCCTCCGCTCCTGGACTGCAAAATCAACCACTCTCCTCCTTTTGTTACAAAATGTCTACCTTTACATTTGCAACCCTCATAGTCCGTCCTGATAGTAATTATTCACTATTGTACAACAAGAGTCTTATCCCCATCTCCTTTCATCAGCCCCGTCAAGACAGGTTGGAAACCACTCAGTGGAGAGTCTACCTTCCCCCACACCCTCTGAAACTAGGTTCCTTCTTGAAAGCTTGTAAGCCAGTCACTTCGTGCCTTTGCAGCCCCCCATTTTGGGGAGCCAATGTCTAAGTTGCCCAACCCTGTCAACCCTGTGTTCCCTCTTTAGTTACACAACTTCTACCTTTACAGTTGTGACAATCGCAATTAGTCACGATAACAACTACTCACTATTGAATCAAAAGAATTCTATCTCCATCTCCTTTCACCAGACCCATCCAAACAAGATAAAAACTATTCAGTGGGGATTCTACCTTCCCTGCTTGTGCTGAAACTAAACTCCCTCTTAAAACTTGTAAACCAGCCACTTTATGCTTTTATAGCCCTTCCCCCTAATTTTAAGTAGTCAGTGTCTAAGTTGCCTGTCCCTATCAGTGCTTGATCCTTGATGTGAAGACTTCTTCCATCTCGGTTGGTATTTTGAGCTACTACATCCATAAGTATAGGTCAAGTTCATCAAATTGTAGCAATTTACCCTTGCTTCTATATCAAACTTCTTTATTTTCCTCTAGTCAAGTTCTGTCATCAAACCATCCAAGCTAGGTCAAACGGATACTATCTGCAAGCTTGGGCATTCTTGTGTGCCTACTCCCACTTCATATTAGCTGGATGCTTCACTCTCAGCTCTAGTCCCCAGTGGCTAGGTCAGTGTCCATGGTTTCAGGAGTTGTCAAGTCTCCCCAAACTTCAGACCAACCAGTCTTTCCTCTTCTCTCCCTCATCTCAAGGTTGACAGGAGTCTCTGGAACATAGGTGAACTCAGCCCATGTTTTCATCACTGCCTTTCCCCCATTTCCACTCACAAGTAGACCAATGCGGTCACCGGCAAGCTTACTAAGCCTGCTCACGTGTTCCCTTTGAGCTACAGTTTTGGAAGGAAGTTTGTCCTGAAGGGACTGATTGCTTGCTTTGATGGCTCCCAGGGGAACAGCTTCCTCATAATAGACAAACAGTCTGCCTTTTTTTTTTGTCTTTTTCCTGATGATCTTTCTTTCAACAAGTATCTTCTGTTCCTCTAGCCACTCTGGGCTCATCTGCATGTTCTTTCAAATGGGAAAGTCCCACCTCAGAAGGTTCTGGATGGGACTCAGGATTTCACCTATACACTACCAAAGGCACTGCAAGAAGCTTATATAGGTACTTTAAAAGGAGTACAGTACTCACAGATGATATTGTTTATTTTATGAGACAGTCTATTATTTAGCTACAAGATGACCTCATGGAATTGTTTTGATTTAAGGTTTAAAGCGTATCTCAGGGAGACAGTCTTGGGGGATCCTTATCTTAACCAGTCCTATAAATCTGATATTCTTAAGAATTTGAGTTTTGATCCACAGAATTTTTATTTAAGGTTAAAAAAAAAATTAAAGATCTTTAATTTTCTATTTTAAAACTTATACATTTAAAATATTTTTTAACTTTTTTCTGAAAATATACTTAATAAAGCATATCAGCTCAATATTTTCTATATAAAATGTAATTTCACAGCTGTGAAACATTTTCATTATTAAAATTAGGTTTAAATAACTTAGAATTATAAATGTACAGAGTTCAAAAGAATACAGATAACAATTTGTTTCAACTTCTTCAATCTGAAATTGATCAAACATGCAATCAAGATGTATTGACCATTACTGGTGATTGGAATGCAAAGGTTGGGAGCAAAGAGGAAGGATCAGTAGTTGGAAAATATGGAGTTGGTAATAGAAATGATGCTAGAGAACGCATGATAGAATTCTGCAAAACCAATGATTTGTTTATTTCAGAAGAGATCAGGCGCATTCAGGGTGGTATGGCCGTAGACTGATTTGTTTATTTCAAATACCTTCTTTAGACAACATAAGAGACAACTATACACATGGACCTCACCAGATGGAATACACAGAAATAAAATTTACGTCTATGGAAAGAGACGATGGAAAAGCTCCATATCATCAGTGAAAACAAGGCCAGGAGCAGACTGTGGAACAGACCATCAATTACTCATATGCAAATTCAAACTGAAGCTGGAAAAAATGAAAACAAGTCCACGAGAGCCAAAATATGAATTTTAGAGATCATCTGAACAACGGATTTGATACATTAAACACTAAAGACCGAAGAACAAAAGAGTTGTGGGATGACAACAAGAACATCGGCCATGAAGAAAGCAAAAAGTCACTGAGAAGACAAGAAAGAAGGAAAAGGTCAAAATGGATGTCAGAAGAGACACTGAAACTTGCTCTCCAGCATAGAGATGCTAAAACAAATGGAA